AAGAAAAAATTTTTTTTATTGAAAATCTTGTCGTTTATGAGACTCCATATCGATTTTTACGTTAAAAAACAAGAAAGTGGGTCGTTTTCCTCGACAGCAGAGATTACATCTCGGAGAAGAAAGTTTCATCTTTTCCAGATTCGATTGTCTGGAAGCATGATTGGAAGGAGATTAAATATTCCGTTGCAGTAGTAATTTATATTACCGTGGCAAATTGGTTTTGTCGTTGAAACGAGGTGTGTTCTATTCTCTATCAAAAATTATGTAATTATATTAAAGTATATGCATGTAATATATATATATATTGTAATATGTATATATATAGGTACTTACAGTGATAATTATTCTCAAAGAAATAAATTAAACATATCAATTAAATCAGATATTCTATTCTCTATTGAAAATTATTTAATCCCAAAAATAGGTATTTATTTAGGAAAAATACTTAAAATAATGCTTATTATTAATGAAATCAATTTTATGTATCAATTCAGCAAGATATCCTATTTTCTATTGAAAAATTATTTAATTATATAATTGGTTATATAAAACTCGTTATATCCGAACGAGTGGTACAAACGGAGGGGAAGGTGGAGGAGGAAGATTCGTGCTTAAAATTTCTGTTAATTACCTTTACATTGAAATATACTTTCAATTACGTATCACGTCATTTGTCATAGTGCTTTAAAGGTACTGGGATTTTTCAACACAAAATCTGAAGAGCGCAATCCCGCTGCTTGGCACTCAAACAGTTAACAATATACATTAAACGTACTATCTCGTATTCATTGATTTCCGTAATGTATGCATTCCGTCTCGAGTTACGCTACTTATATTTCATACGTTTAGTTCACCTCTATCAGTCGAATTGCTACGATGAAGCAATAGCGCTAGCCTAATTAATAATTTAAATGATTTATAAATCTTCACCATTCGTATAGAAGAGAAAAATAATACAGACGCTTATTCTTTATTACATAAAACATTTAAAATCGTAGATTGTTAGAATTGTAACGTGTATATTTAAACGAAGATTTTCTTTCGATTTATATTTTCATGTAGTATCATGTACAAGTTATTGCGGTATAAATAATAACAATAATTCATATTATCAGAAAATTAAATGCGACATATTGTTTAAGTCAGATCGAATTGTTTAGAAACAGGAATATTGAAAAATTGTTTAGCCACATTCTTTTGAATACGTGTTTTTATTTTTCCGCAGTAAAAGAGAAAAAAAAACAAAACTGGAGAGCAAAAGAGAGAAAGATATAGGAGGAATATAATGGTTTAGGTCTCTTTTGCTCTTGCATAAAAATCGACACACGAAGGGACGAGAAGAAAGATCGGCTCGCAAGTAACGTATGTACAGGTACATTACAATGCGGAACTGCAAACGACAATGTCGTCGAACGTTGGAAGACAATTTTTCTGACTCGGTTAACGCCTCACGTCCGTTTTCTCTACGATATTTTATTCCTATTCTCCGTTAGCATAATGTTCTCTACCTTTATTCCCAGAAGAAAAATAGTCTCTCGTCATTGATTTTTGCTTAAGCTTATGTTAATATGAAAATTTTGTTTGAAATTTATGTGACAATAATTTCGTTAGTAAAAATAAATAGTATATTCTCTATGTGATAAAGGAAAATTAGTTAATATTTTGAGTACTTTGGAATATCATTTTGTCACGTTTAACGAATAGATATTAATCTAAGCATATAATGTTAAGTAAAAGCGCATAGTAGTTTAATACGAAGAGCAGAAAGATGAGTTCACTTCTCTTCTCTTCTCTTCTCTTCTCTTTCTTTCTATCTTTCTCTATTTTTATCCTCTTTTCTTCTTTTCATCGTCGCATTCTCGAGTTCTCCTCGCTCCACTCGTTTCGCGGCCGTTCTTTGAAATATAATAGCGCTAATGAAAATGGAAATGCAATTGCAACGTCCGTGTATATCTCTACAACTTATATATTTTATATATATGCAAGAGATAAAAACAGCTTCTAGAGAAGTTTCTTCTTTTTTTATTCGTCTCTTGAATTCGACTTGTCGAAAAGAAGGAAAATAAGAAAGAAATGAACGAACGAGCGCTAAAGAAAAAGAAGAAGAAGAAGACATAGTAATAGTAATACTAGTAGAGAAAAAGAGATTTAAAGCGAGAGAAAGAGAGAGAAAGAGAGGAAGTAAAAGAAATAGAAGGCAAAGAAATCTGATGGGGAAGGAAGGAAACGAAGACTTGCCAACGCACGAAATTTCTCTGCTTTAGCCAGGATACTCTCGTGGATGGATATTGTAGCGGGATGAGAAGAGTAGGAAAGCGAGAAAGAGAAAGAAGCTTTTCGACCGGGAGAGGCCTTCCTTCTTGTATCTCCACGCGCGCGTTTCATGGTTTGTAAATATTACCTGCCACGAGACGTCTGCCGAGTTCATGCTCGGCTTGGTTGCCGCGTAACCGAGAGCCGCTGCTTGCGATACGGAAAGAGCTAGCGAGATGAAAGAGAAAAGAACAGAAGTAGTAGGAGTAGGAGAAGTAGGAGGAGGAGGAGGAGGAGGAGGTGGTGGTGGAGGAGGTGAAATAGGTACAGGAAAGAGGAGAGAAGCAGGAGGCGAACTCACCGAGTTTTTACCCCATTCTGGAGTCTGAGTGCCTCGCTCTGCTGACTCTCGAAACGGGTTGCAGAGCCAACCCCTACACGGTACCACACACTTTGCCCTCCACCCCATTCTACCCTTTCTTCCTCTCTCTCTCTCTCTCTCTCTATCTCACTCACTTTCGTACCTTTCTTTCCTTCAACTCGGTCTCCTTCAGCTTTCCGCATTTCTCTCCTTTTTCAATCTCTCTCTCTCTCTCTCTCTCTCGCTCTCTTTTTCTGTTGGTACATACACAAATTCGCGACGGCCACACGCATTTATATATATGTACAACACACAAGTTTTCTAGGCGATCTTACTTCAACCTTTTTTTTACCCTTTCCTCTCTCTTTCTCTCTTTTCTTTTTTTTTCTTACCAACCTTTCAACCAACACCATCAACTTACGTGAACTGTCAGCTCAGGGGCGGATTGGAACACCGTTGAGATTTTCGATAAGATAGGGCCAACCTTTCCGAATTTTCCTTCTACCTTCTACCCTATTTTTCTAAAACGATTTTTTTTTTTACAATCCTTCGAATCTTGTGTGTGCTCTCTTTTCATATATCGATATACGATCTTATCTATCGAGTTAGTTTCCTTTTTTGGAGAATCGAATTCTCGTTTAGATTCGATTTGGAATCTTTGATTCTGTCTCGAAGATCATTAATGTTTCAAATGAACAGACACAAATAACTTCTTAAAATAATCACCTGCTTCTTAACGTTTTATTATTTCTTGAATTCCAGAACGAATGACTCTTTCATTCCTAACTAAATACATCGCGTTTCTTTTTATCTCATCTTTAAAAGGAAACGATTCCTTCTGAGATTATTCGAAAAATAAGTAGGAAAAAAAACAAATATCGACTTTTACGCGCGCGTGCCTCATTTCACCGTCTTTTTATTTTCTTGAAAAAATATTTTAATTACGAGACTTCGTTTTATGTTTTTGTGCATCAGATTTCTTTCATACTTCATCTACCCCTTTATTACTTGCATCTACTCTTATCCCAGCTTTCAGCCGAAGTGTCAAGATGATATTGTCGAAGCAACGTATGCTACAGGATTCTTTGCAAAAGAGTGTTGTCGTAGTTGTCGTCGTCGTCGTCATTGGTTGGATTTAATCCGTGCTATCCACGTTCTCCGTTTTATCTTACACCCTTGCCACCACTTAACAACTTTTTTTCTCTTTTTCTTCTCAGGCATGCCCTTATTGCAACGTGCCGCGGAGACCATTAACTCGCGTTCCTTGCCCTCAGGGACGTACTGGAATTTCGCGAAAATCACGCGTTCACAACCTCTTTCGATGTTTCTCTCGATCTTTACTTCATTAGTTCTTTCTTCATTTGTTTTTCTTTTTTTTATGAATTTTAATTTAAAGCAATCGTATTAAATATTTTTTTATTTGCTATTATGCTTTATTTTTTCTTTATATATATTTATTTATTTTGTGTATGTGGGAATAAAAATGTCTATATATTAATTCTTTCAATATTTTCTAGAAGGTTTGTACAGATAGTAATGCGATTTTCACGTGACTAGAAATTCAAGCTTCTTCGATAAAAATTTTCGAAAGTCCCATCACCTTCTCTAATGAGCTTATTCTCTACGGACGTTTTATATACTACAATATCGAGTTTTCTCTTTCTTCCTTAACTATTTTCTACTAGCTTTAATCAAGTTCCAAGGAATCAAAGCAAGATAACACGCTTTTTCTTCTTCCAGTAAAGTTTTCTCGAAAAAATGCACCGAGGCCGTTTGTTGTGTCGTGAACGATCGTTTGAATTCCCAAATCGAAAATCGGTTAGTGAAATTGACATCTTTTCAAATTATCCAACTGGATCGTGAATTTCAAACTAATCCTTATGTAAGAGGACCTTATAATAAATGTTAGTTTTAATTAAGGAAAATGTAAAGTTTGTTGTGTATCATTTAATCTAAATAATTGCATTTATCGTACAAAGCTCGAACATCGATCAGTTTCACGTTTCAAAATAGAATAGTTCTATCGATTGGTCGAAATAATTTATTCGTTTGGCTCATTCCAAATTGAAACGATCCAAAAGTCAAGTGACGCATCTGCCGAGCTCGTATTTTACGTTATAACTTCTTTACGTCGGTCTCGTTTATCCTGTGACTTGTGTAAATAAAACCGAGAAATATTCGGTAAATAAAATATATATTATATTATATATGTATATTGGTGTATAGAACATCAACTGTGATATTACGTATCGTTTATTTTTGTAAAAAAAAGTTGTGAAAAGGAAAAGAAATTCATTTTAGAAGATTTTTTTATGTTTCCAAGACCTGCCAGTTTTAACAGGTTTTCTCGGATTCGTAAACGAATCTAACATTTTTATATTTCCAGTGGTGAGCCAACCTTACGATCCCGAAGTGCAAAGTCCAGCCACTTTCCTCGGCAACAATGTACTTATGCGTTGTAGTGTGCCCAGTTTTGTACGAGACCACGTCACCGTAACTTCCTGGTTTCAAGAACCAAGTTTCAACATTTATCCAACTCCGATGAGCGGTGAGATTATTTTCGTTCAAAAATGTATGAAAAATTTTTCAAATTCTTAAAAGTCAAGAACTTCTGAGATGTATTAAATTATTTTCCTTTTCTAATATTTGATCTTTAAATTTAAAGCAGCAATTTAGCTTCTTTCGTATCTCGAAATTTATACTTGAACTTTCAAATTTTTACGAAAAACGAGAGATTTAGAGAAAGAAACTGCTGATAAGAGGAAAAGAAAAAACTCGAGTGCTTGCTTATTTATTAAAAAATAAAAATATAAGGTAGAATAAAAAATCTTATCGTAGTTCTCTGCGATCCCTAGTGCTAAATTGAGTCTCGTGTTAATCATATTGATATCAAAGAAGTGATTTTCGCGATACCGTGTCAGAAATGAAGCTTTCGTTTGCGACGTTATACCACGGAGCAATTAATGAGCCGGCTGCTCCGTTGATTATAAACGAGATTGATTAAGCTATCGCAAAAGCAGTTTAACTGCTTCGATCGATATTATAACTCAAATTATCAATAACCGCGTTTACTTCGATAGCTTTTGATCGATAGTTTCTTCGATAAAATTAGAAGTTTTGATATTCGAAAATCAAGTGAAATTATATGGAAGCTTAATCACGATGGAAAATGGGTTAACGTTAAAAATTTATATACATGCCTTTTGTAATATTATATAAATGTATTATACATAAATAAAAACAAGATAGTTAATTAATCGGTAAAGGTGAAAATGAAACATCGGTATCGAAAATGATGGTTTTCGTTATTGTTAATTAGTTATTCGTTATCGTTATAACGTTTCACGTTTAATCTTAATTGCTATTTATTTATGTATAAAATCGAACATTATTGCCAATTCCAATCTCATCATTTGAGAAGATTGTTGAACGTTGTATGATCGAGGTTTGATGTGTGTTTGTAGATGGCAAATATCACATGCTTCCGAGCGGTGAACTGATGATAATCAATATTACTCGACCGGATGCACAAATGACTTACCGTTGCAGAACTCATCATCGATTGACCCAAGAAACGGTCGTCAGTAGCAGTGCTGGTCGGCCTCAATTGACTGGTGAGTAAATACCTTTCTCTTCTTTCTTGAAATTTAATCTTCGAACGACAGGACTTCGACAATTGATCGAAAAAAGTTAGGTCAATTCTAAAGATTCTATCGAGAAAAATTTTACCTTACTATTTTTCTTTTTTCTTTTCTTTTCTTTTCTCATTTACTTCTTCTTTTCATGTCAACGATCTTCTAAAAATAAATTTTCATATATACTTAATTCCGTTTTTAAACGAACTTTTTTTTTACACGATTTTGATTTAACACGATCGACCCAAATTCTAAGAAGAAAATTTTTAAAACTCATGGTTTATATATATTTACCATATATTTTTCCTGATTTCTTAGAACTTCCAATCTTAACCAACCTTCTTCTATTTTTCGATAGATGTAATATATTTTTTAACACGATCCTTTTTAAAAAATGTATTCTTCGGGAACGTATCCACGGTATAAGAACAGAATTAGGTTTATATGTATTTTTATCTGCTATATAAAATATGAAAATATTGTTCTTAGAAGAAAAGAGTAAGTATTTGGGATAAAGCGAAGTCTTATTAAAAGATAAGTTTGAGTATCCTTTTAGGATTAAAGAATTCGTACACACATTTCTCGAGCTTCGTGCATGCAAAGAATGTTTAAAACTCCTTTCTCTATCGCACTTTGCGAAATCGTTCTTAATAACGACCACGTTTTCTCGGCCACGAAGTGTAAGTTCATTGTTCGTGATAACCAGAGCATTACTGTAATTCATTGCAGCACTTATTACGAATTCGCGAGTTAAAGTGAGCGTACCGCGGTTTGGGCCACGCTCCGACCTTTATAATTACAAAATGGTGAATATTACTGTCGGCTTACGTTCGTGGTTCATTACTAAGGTTTACTCTCTTACTATTTATTCAACGATTACTTTTACCATCTAATACACTGTTTACCAAATAATAATTACATTATTTTCGTCTTTATTCTAAGCGCTAACATTTGTTATATTTTATTTTTTACAAAATACGTTACGCTACGTTACGTTATTTCTTTTATCTCGTTATATATTATATACTATGTTATCGTTAAAATGTGAAATACATTAATTTATGAAATAACCAGCTACATCTCTCATAAATAGTTATATTAACCTGTTAAAATATGACAGAAGTTATAATTAAATACTTTAATTATGTAATATAAGAATACGCGAGAGGCTAATAATTAGTTTATGAAATTGATATTTGATTTATAAATTAGATCTGATAGAACAGCACAATTAACAGAACATTGATTTTCAAAATACTGCAAGAGATAAAAAGGGATAACTATGAGCATTGTGATGGAAATAAAAGAACTCCTAGACGGATCAAATTTCATTCTCATACTTTAACTACTCGTCTCTTGTGAATTTATATCTTACGTAAATTTAAGTGCATAATAAAATTATTTTTATATGTTTCACCTAAAACGCTTATTTATTTCGCGTAAGATCTAGTCTTTTCATGAATTAACTGAATTATACACTTCAAAAGGATAACATTTATATATTTTGTTATAATATACGATTTTCACGACATCGATATGTTTTGAATTTTCAATATTCATATTATATTAGATTTCTCGCTCTGTATGGGGAACTCGGTTATTCAAAGACGGTTGTGCCATACGGGTATTCAAATACACATGCATATCCTTCAAGTATTACGAAACATATATACAAGAAAATCACTCATGTTCCTTTATCAGCAATATTTTTATAAAGAAGAAAAAAAAATTGAAGAAGAGAACCTTTAGATACTTCCTACGAGAACGGAGTTCAATTTTAAAAAAGGACGAACTTCAAACGAATTCGATAAAAGAATCGTTCGAAATAATTAAATATTATGTTTATTCTTTATTTTTTGCTTCTTTTTTGTTAGTGTTTATCTTTTGGAACGTAACTTGCGCTAGCTAGCAGTAGCTCGTTATGAAATTTTATTTTCCATCGATGAAAATGATAATGAAAAATTGAATATAAAAAATAAAACAAAACGGGAAAAGAAAAAAAAATGAGAAGCCTACGGGTTCTTTCACATTGAATCGTTGTTGCACCCGATGGGTTGGCCGATTTCAATTAAACGTTTACTTTGACCGACAGTTCGTTCGCTCGTTCGATAGCCTGCCAATTATGAGTGAGTTTTGTACATTCGGTACGATCGTTCGGAATCAAGAGAGAAACGTTTTGCCCTAGGCGTCTTGTTCTCATGATACTACCCATTGTACAGGTTTTCTCTGTATCGTCAAAAAGATCGATTTAAAATCGACAAACGGTTTTATTATTATTATTTTTATCACGTAATAATAGAATTTTCTATGTTAATTTTCTAATTAATTTAAGAATAAGAAACGAAAGAAAAACATCGTAGTTTTTTTTTCTTTGTTTTTTTGCCTCTTTTACGATACAATATAATGATATTTGAGAATTTGGAAGGGTAAAAAAAAGAGAAGCAGGAGGAAAACTACAACTACTACGTTTGAAAGTAGAATTCCTCGTGTATACGTACTTTAAGTTCTTCTATTTTTCGATATAAAAAGCACACGAGCGAAGATCAACAAGAAAAGAAGAGAAGAGAGAGAAGGAGAGAGACAGTAAAAAGAGCGTGAAAAATAAAAGCTTCTAGGGGTAAACTTTCTCTGTTCCATCCTGATCTTACATGGCGTTACAAAGTTCCACTTGGCATACGTTTTCTACATCCTTTCTCTCTCTCTCTCTCTTACTCTTTTTCGCTCATGTTCTGCTATTTTTTGTCAAACTGCATTCGCAGCAACTGCTGCTGCTGCTGCTGCTGCTGCTTCTACCGAGAGTGGAAAAGCTAGACAGCATCATAGTAGTTTCGATGTAGTGTGTGAGAAACAAATATCGGTCTCGTATTGTCCTCTATCATCGTACATGTCGTCGACTTTACTATGAAACCAACGACAATGAATATTTTCCGAATGATTCTTTTGTTTAGTCAAGGTTATCCCCGTGCGATTCGATATTAAAGTTGTGTTTGACTATGCGTTAAATAAAGTATACGCTCGATCGTTTGCAAACTTTTTTTTTTTTAAATATTAAAGGGGAAATAAGAGAAAGAGGAAAATGAAAATATACAACACAACAACGAAAAGAAAAGAAATGAAAAAAAAGAAGAAGAAAAGGTAGAATTTTATCGAAACACTATATATAGTATATGTTATAATGTTCATTAAAGAAATGAAATGAAGAACAAAGAAAAAAAGAAGATAAAACTAAGGAAGCCAGCTAGTAAAGGTAAAAAAAAACAAAAATTGTCAACAACTTTGTAAAAATATTCGGTTTAACGCAACGAGGACGACGAAAACGGAATGAGACTCGTAAAAGCTCACTAGCGACTGTTTATTCCCTTTGCATATAAACATGAAATTCCAATTAAAATGGAAAACGCGATGGAAAGTCATGCGTAAAAAGAAAAGAAAAAAGAGAGAAAGAGAGAAAAGGGAAAAGAACATACGAGTTTCGACTTTCATAAACGAAAGATCTTGCTGTATTGCAGCATTTTAAAAGTAATTATTCGTCACAATATTTGTATAAAATAATAGTTAAACGGTAGCATATATAATTATAAATATGATTAATTTAAATTTCTACCTGAAAATAGGAACGCGCGTTAATATGATACTTATTTGTTTTTGTTTGAAAAAATATGTATTAATTATATATAATATTTATAATAATAATTATTATTGTTGCTGTAAATATGACATAAAATCAACGTCATATTTGATTATAAACCTGGTGTCAAAGTGCTTTTCGAAAGATTAAATGATTCTCCGGAAGAGGATCAACGGGTTCAAAAGGGAGCTTCGTTTAATTTACATCGTTAATTACTAATCGATTGATGCGATACTAGAAACCGAATTACGAGCTATAGGTTTTGAGAGAGATGTCTGAAAAGAGAAACAAAAACAAGAAAGAGAGAAAGAGAGAGAGAGAGAGAGAGAATGGAAGAGATAGTAAGTTTAACACGTTCCGTGCCACGTGGGGCGCATACACACACACTCCATGTAGAACTTTCCCTTCAAGCTATTTGATATTTTCATTGTAAAATAAAGAGTAATGTTTAGCCACGTGTTTGTTAAAATAATTTCTAAAACAATAAATAAAAAGCTTTATTGCCTTATTTTTGATAATTATGATCTTTGTATTATTTTTATCACTGCAAGTTCATACGTCAAATATCAATAAACAATGCAATTGTAATAAGTTGTGGGACGTATACAGCCCACGCGACCTGAACGGAAAGTGTCCTCAGATCGGGACGGCATGGAGCTTGTTAAGGAAATATTTCAGGTTAGTGGAAGATAATATGTTATGACCAAAAGATTCTTCAATGAAAATTCCTCTGATCATTAATTGTATGCTATGAAGTGGAGAATAAAGGATTAGGTTAAGGTGTAAAATAAAACACGTGATTGAGCCAAACAAAGAAACAATGCCTTTTTTTATTGGCTCGTCAGGGAAAAGCCTTGCGGCATAAAAACCCTGGATGATATTTAATTATAAAAATGAGAGTCCACCACGTGGTATTACCACGCGGGAAAATACCGTCAATATAAAATGTATATAATGGAAAGATCTCACCTCTCGCTCGCTTCGCTTACGTTCCTTAACTAATTTAGTTTAACTCCTTTGATTTCGATATGTATTCACAGGCTTCCTATAATGGACTGTAAGAATGTCCTTTTGTACTGGCCCAGCAGGGCGTACGGACTGGGAGTGAGAAGTGGGGAGGCGAGAGGTGGGGGTAACTAGAGGGGCGCTTCGGTAGTTACTAGTAGTTGATCGATGCTCACAATGAGTATCGATCTAGACTTTTAATCGATGGAGGTGGATGCGCGCTAATTTTGAATACTGTTAATTACCGTATGATCCTTTCGGATCGTACATACTCCCCCCGTTGAGAGTGTAAC